TGTACTGGAACATGGAGATTTACACATGTGGTGACATTCAGCACTACAGCCACTGGTGCTGTGTCTTAAATCCCTAAAGACGACACAGATGGAGGCTACAAGGAGAAACAAATGTGAACAGTGTGATTACTGAGCACCTGATGTGTGACAAAGGGCAGGAAGAGATTAGCAGTAATGATGGACACAGAGTGCTGCGTGCCCCTACTGAGTCCCGGGTGCTGCACCAGAGCCAGCCCAGTGCTGTGCTGGAGCCCGGTGTGAGCAGAAGCCTTCTGAGGGTCAGTGCCCGGAGCAGGTGACTGAAGGAGGTCGCTGATCAGAAGAGGTAGACAGGTACTCCTTCAGAAACAAAAGATGATTTTGAGAACGAAAGCAGCCTGGGTAATGACAGGGGAGTTCACGCAGGCAGAAGAACAGCATCAAGACTGCAGGTTTACCTGGAACGCTTGGAAAAGAGTGCCTGAGCAGACAGAATGCAAAAGGAGGGGACTCGCAGCAGGGCCCAACACCTGTGTAGGAGTGAGAGACCTTCCCTGTACCCACCCAAAAACGTGCTTCAAATCTCTAAACTCAAATCAAACTTTGCTTCACTTTGGAACTTCTAAGCTCACCCTCACACAGCCTTTGCAGTGAGGGTGAAACTTCAGTTGACAGTTTAACACATTCCTGGCACCTGCAGATCTCACAATTGAGCAGGGAATACGAGATGAGATCAGCACATGGCTGCGTCCCTTCTGTGAGGCCGAGCGTCCCACACCAGCAAACAGCTCCGCTAATGCAAGGTGTGTAATTTAATTAGCCATTAACTCAAACCTGAGGTGAAGTAAATTCAGCCCATTATACATTCCAAAATAGTATTAGAATTCAATTTAAGTGTCACCAAAAGCCTAATCCCCAGAATACAGAGAATGTTAATCAGTGACTTGGAGTTGGTGGTTTGATTTAATTTCCTGCTGCGCTGCGCTGTCGCACGGTTGTGATCCCTGCAGTGAGGATCTCCTGGTGGCAACCCATGGGTCTGAGCACACACAGCCCCAGGGGACTCTCCTGGTGAGCAGTGGGACTGCAGACAGAGCTGTGGGTGCCTCCTGCCTGGAGGTGCCTCAGGCCATGGATGGGCAGCCCCGGGCAGCTTGAGCTGCTGGAGGGCACCCAGCCGACAGCCTTGCATTGGAACTGGGTGGGCTTTGAGGTCCCCTCCAACCTAAGCCATCCTGTGGCTCTGTAACACCGCAGCAGGGATCCCAAGCATCCCTGAAAAGCCGGTTTGTTGTTTTTGTAACCACAGGACTAAAATACAGCCTGGTAATGCAGATGCTGCCAGAAGGAGCTGCTGGGAGCAGGCAGAGAGCAGGCGGTTTGCACACGGGCAGTGCCACGCTGGTGCCGTGCTGCCCAAAGGATGCACAAAGCGCTGCCTGGTAACACAGCTGGCACGGCACGCTGCTCTCCCCCTGCATTCCTGCACCGATAGCACATGGCAGGATTACAGCGGCCATAAAGTGACGGATCCACCGCTTTCAATCCCCCCAAGTCAGATGTAAAGTGCAAATGGTGCATCATTTTCACAAAGAGCCAAAAGCGTAAAACCTGCTTTCCATTTCTGCAGCAGTCGGCCATGTTTTGGACTTTGTTATGTCGCCCCTATAATAACTCCTCCTGATTAGCAACCAAAGCACGTCACAGAGCAGTTTGGGAAATGCATCTCTTCTATAAATGACAACAGATTATTTAAGCAACAGCTAAAAAGCACTCCGACTGCTTTTTCCTTTGCTTGCATTACTGTCAGTCTTCTCGTATATCTCAAGAATGAGCCCAGGATTTTCTTTAAAATGGTGGAGAGCAATACAAAAATAGCGGAGTACTCATCTAAAATAAAGTTATACGTTTGAAATAGTTGGAAATTGTTTTTTAATCACTGCCATTCTTCTTCTGGAATATAATCTGCTGGCCATACGTTTTGCTTTTCTATCCAATTTCTAAGGAAAATGCAGCAAGTGTGTTAATAAATAATTTATAAAAACATTACAAGAGATAAAGCACTCCTGCTAACCCGTTTCCAGCCTCCTCGATACCAGTTCATTTGTAATCCTCTCCTTCCCCCTTTCCTGGAAGATCGGAAGAAGGTTATTGCTGCATTTCTGCACAGCCCCACTCTACTCAACCCGTAGGTGTCAAAGCACATCTTGGTTCTGAAGGCATCCAGACTGATAAAAGGGCGCAGCCCGATCTGAGTTGCAAGTTCAATTTTATATACTACAGATTTTTGTCACAAAAAACATTTTTCACCCCAAAGGGAGGGCTCACAGGTGCTGCTCCTTCAGTGCTCTGTCCTTCCTCTAATGATGGACAGCTTTGTTCTTAAAGAGGGGAAGGAGCTCACTGAAGACAGCTTGTGATGAGCTCTGCCAGATGGAACTCAATTTTAGCGAAGGCAAGGGCCCTATAAGAAGTAAAACCCGAAGGAGGAAAAGAAAAAATAGCCTTTGACTTCAACAGATCCTGAGAGTATGTGCAAGTGGAAGCATCTCTGTTTACATCTGCGCTATTTAAAAGGCTGAAGGTGGGCTTCAGTGGATACAGATGCCCTAAAGTATGTCTGCATCCACCTCTTCAAGAAGATGATGTTGGCAGAGAGGTGGCCCTTGGGGTGTCCCCAGCCCCACACCCCCTGTCAAACAGGCACTGAGTGCCTAATGCCCACCGCTCTCCTTCAGCAGCGCAGCACCTCCATGTGCCACACACCACACGAGCATCAATGCTTCATCACCGTCATTTCTATCTATCCAAATAAAAAAGAACCATCACTGAGCAACAAGTCTGAAGATTCTTAAGAGATTGCAATATTTCCAATACACGTTTTAAAAGGCCCGACTCTTAAAGCTGTCCCAGGGCAGTGGGAGCTGAGCAGAGGATGCCCTGATCTGCTGGCAGTGCTCTGCCAAGGATAGGACGGGATGGGTCCTAACAAACCATGCCAACTGCTGGCATCACTCCTGCCCCACTGCCCCACAGCCGTACTGCGCAAGAGCAGAGTTGTGAGCGGGCACAGAGCTGCTGCCAGCAGCCATCCACACAGCGGCCCTCCAGGAGCCTGGCATTGGATCCATCTGAGATTCCTGGGGTGCCAATTACCACACACAGAAGGAAACTCTGCATTTGGTATTCAGCTGTGCCAGTGTTTGAAAATAGACTCTGAGAATCCACATTTTTTCTGTGTTAGTCATTATGGGTACAAACGTTTTTCTTTCCCAGCAACAGAAAATCTGGTGCTGCTTGGAAGGACTGCTCCTAGCTGTGCCCTGCAGCACTGCCCGTGTGTTGAGCCCTTCCAGGAGGTGGAGGGCTGCCACAGAGCTGAGCAGAAGCACTGTGCAGACCTTAGAAAAACATCATCTGTTGTTCGCTCTTCTCTCTCTGGCTGCATAACCTTGAGAGCATGACTGAAGGATGCCCACTTAGCCTGGAAGACGCACTCATGAATCACAGGCTCACGTTCCTCGCACAGCGGAGACACAACGTGTCCTTGTTGCTAAATAAAAACACACTGCATTCACAACCAAACGTCCTGCACAAACAGGCTCACAAGGAACGCACTTCCAAGTCCGCCCATCTCAATCGCGATCAATTACCAGAGAACAGAACACGGCCTCAATGTTGAGCGTGGATGAGCCAGACCTCAGGATACAGGCAAGATCCTGATACTGCAGTGCAAGTAATTAAATACAGGGGTGCTAATTGTTTGCTGTTCCACCCACAGCCTTCAGCAGGGACAGCTGGGAGAAGCACTGTGCCGCACCGCGCTGTGCAGCTGGGGATGAATTTAGAATATCCTCTGAATTTTCGTGTCACATCATCCATCACCAGCAGACAGACACTAAATAATAAAACAAACAGCTGTCTGCTGCCCAAGGCAAACTGGACTCTAAGTTTAGAGATTTTGTTCAGTTCAGTGTGCTGAACTGTGAACTTTTACTTTTAATGGCTTCTTTAGTCGTGCCTTTGCACAGCTCCCCATCTCACTGCCTGCTCCATCCAACCACAGGTCAGGTCAGGAATCTGCAGGTCGTGAGGAAAAGCTGCTGCTGCTGCAAGAAAGGGCCTTGAGGTGGGTTTGCTGGCTGCGCTCTGCTTTCAGCAATCACACAGCACTGCTTCCCTCCATGGAGATAAAATACCACTCTGACTGCAGCAGGGGAAAGGATGCACATAAGAGAGGACACTGATGCTGTGTGCACAGCCCCTTTGGGGACTCCACAGCACAGCCACCATCACAGAGCTGTGGGAGGTCCTTTTATGCAGGCAGCAACAGTTCTGTTTTAACATGGAAGTGTGATTGCAGATCAAGGGGAAAACACAGGGATATTTTCCATTTTGCCTCTGCACCCTCAGCACTTGTAACCGACAGTAGGATCAGTACAGGGAGCTGAGCACTCCTTCAGCTTCAGCCCACCCTGGGCGGAGCGCAGCCAAGGGATCCCTGAACACACCAGCACACCCCAGGCACTGTACACTGCAGAGCTCAGAAGGCTGGAAGAGCTTTGCTGTGCCCACAGCAGCAAGGACAAAAGTCAGTGAGTAACTCAACAGGACTCCTCCACACCAACCATTCTGCCACCCGCTCCTGATGGAGCCGTGTGCCGTCAGGTTCACACAGAATTCACACCAGTCCCCAGCGCTGCTTCTGCTTCCTCTCCCCACAACTCTGCACACACACACAGCAGCTGGCTTCCCGAGTCCTGCTGCACGGCTGGCTCCAAAATGGAAAAACACAACTAAAAACCTGGAAAAGGTCTCACTTCAGCTGACCCTGTTTAGGATACACATAAGCTGGCAGCAGCTCGGTACTTGCTAGAAATTTATCTAGAAAAAGGAGAGACATACCGCCTTAAGGAAATCCATATCACCTGCAGACAAGAAAATCCCCAAACCATCCAATGCCCAGCCATGCAGCTTCACTTGGAACAATAGCAGGAGGAAGGAATCCAGCATCATCCTACCTGAAGAAGCCAGTAGCACCTTCTGTGAAACGTGGGGATGATGGAGGAATGGACGTAACAGCCGTACAAGCACTAAGGACAGAAACAGAGAAAGCAGAGACAGGATTAGGGAAGGAAATCGTTATTTGGGCTCATGATGAGCAGGTTTACGAGGCAGCACCCAGAACAGGAACGAGAGACGGCATCTGTTGTCACGTCAGTATTTGCTGCAGTCATTCCAGGGCTTCAGCTCTGCTGATATAACAGAATGGCAGCTCGCATCAAGCCAAAATTTTAGGAGAATACATTTTGAACACTGCTACAGGTTAAAGACCCAACAGACAGTCTTTACGCGTTTCTCTAGTTTGTATACAGGTATGAACCCCAGCTGCTGATCCCCGAATCATTCTCAGCCTTTGTGCCAGTCCTGAGAGCAGCGGTGGAGCTCTCCCAGCTCTCTGCAGTCCCACATTGGACCACGTCCCCCTCCGGGCAGAGGAACCACCGGAACAGGGTCTGCCTGCACTGCATCCAAACAACTCAACACCCTTCTTTTCTTTTAATGCGACAACCCAACGCCTCTTGGATATCACCCAGCAATGTGAACTGAAAACAGAAGGCATGTAAACCCTGCCCACTGCTTCATGCAGGAAAATAAGAAAATGCATTTTTTTCTATTCTTTACGTTAAATGAACTTTGCTTGCCCAAAAGGACCCAAAAGGAGTAAGGGTAAAGAATTCTTTCTGTAGCAAAATCAAATTTCCATTGTGTTAAAATCCTAAAACAGCACTGTCAGGTGGAAGCTGTGCCCATTACAAACCAACCACACTGAATCATTATTAATTTAAAGGATCCCAGTACAGTTCCTGTTCACAAAATAAGTTTATTGCTAAGAAAGCAATATTATTTTCTGACTCCACTGGCTTTTAATATGTGGGGATGGGGACAGGTGTGCACGTGATCACACATTCCCCTCTGCCAAAGGTGATTAGTTTTCCTTGAACGTAGCGCTTTATGCATAGCAGGATTCTGCAATTACAGAAGGAAAAAAAGAATCTGAGGGGATTTTGCCCACAGTCCCACACCCTTCAGTAACTGCCCTTCCTTGAGCACCTCCAGGGACGGTGACCCCACCGTGCTCCACCACTGTGTCAGACAAGAAACGGCCCCCAGTACCCAGCCTGAACCTCCCGGCACCAGCAGGTGCCCCAGCAGGATGGCATAATGGGGGGAGTGCTGCCCTCAGGTGTGTGGGTAAAGGCACGAACAAGTTCACCACCTGCAGGGTCAGCTTGAATATTAAGGGTGTTAAGGTCCGCCAGCTTCTATCACAGAGCTACCTCCAAAATATGGATGGCAAAGATTAACAGTGTTTTAAAACAAGTCAAAGGTATATTTCACATGCAAGAAAAAAGAAAAACCAAGGAGGAAAAAAGAGGGGAAAAAAGAATTCAAAGAAAAGCTTAACACCTTAATCCTGCCATTCAGCATGGGAAAAAAGCAGACTGTTTGCTTAAGATAATCCCTGACAGCAATCCTTGGCTCCACTGAAGGTCTGCACCGTGCGGCTGTGCTGACTCAGGGCTGTCTCCCATGTTGGAAAGCAGTTTGGGAGCTGTGGGGTCACTGAGTCCCAACAGCTTCCCAGCGAGGACCTGGAAGCAGCACAGCTCTGGGCCTTCCCAACACGTGCATGCAGTGCTGCTGCCTGCCTGCCGTGGAGCCCGAGGCAGAAGTTAAATGACATCAACCTTAAGAAAAGCTAAAGTGAAACAAGTGACAGATCCCAGAAGGGACAACTGCGTGCAGTGCGGTGGAAAAGGAGATCTCCTCCTCACAAGGGTAGTGCCCTGCTCTGTGCATTGCCTTGGACACCTCCTCCGCTCCAGGCTGCTGCGCATGCTTAATGCTTTTAGTTAAAGGGTCTTTAAAACGATCTCTTGCTCAAAACAGACAAAAGGGGTTTCATTAGCTGGGTCTTCCTTTTCTCCTTTTTTTTTTTTTTTTTTAATGGGGGAGGTAAAAAAATGCCAAAGCCTGTGTGTCTGTGGCTACGTTAATGCTGGCTGGGCTCTCAGCCAACACATTAAGTGAAATCGAATTCCTGAAACCAGCTTTAATCAGCAGATTTTTAAGGTTAGAATTACTCTCTCCTCTACAAGGCTTGCCAAGGTTAATTCTGTCCCGAGCATGCTGAATTAATGGCCTGGACAGAGGAGAGCCGTTTTTTCCCCAATTCTCTTTCAAAATTTACAAAATGTCTGGAAGTAAAGAAAGAGCATTTCTGAGCAACTGGAAGGGAGTAGGTGATGGGTGATGGGCTCCGTGTTGAAAACAGAGCCCACAGGTTTGTGTCACTCCACATGTGAGCGCCGGGCACCACAGGACAGCTCTGGGGAGCCACAGCCACCTTCCAGGGAAGGGATGTGCTTGGCCTCACAGATTATATGAGAATCAGAGGTTTAAATCACAGCTTCGCATCCCCCCAACCCACGGGCAGACTATAAGCAGGATGAAGGCTTTGGCCAAAAACACCATGAGGATGCTTGCTGGGAGGCAACAGCCACGTGAAGGAGCCTACAGAGTAGGGATGAGCTCCACTTCATCTCATACCTTTCTAAAATTGACTGATAATTGAACAAGAAAGGGCTTTTTCTGGACAGAGAGGAATAGCTGGGCAATTAGAACTGCCTGCTCTTCCATTTATATGCAGTTCACGTCTTGCATTATCAAACTCCTGAAAACTGGAGAAAAAAAATCAAAGTATTAGTGGATTTTTCATCCTGAGCTCCTTAAAGTGATTGCAGCTTATTTAAAAATAATACAATAATGCTGAGGTGTTCTTCCTTAACAAGAACACCTTGGGAATGGAAGCAGGAGAGCAAGGAATCAAAAATTCAAGATGGGGTTGGTCAGGCTTTGAAATTCCTCTCCCCAGTGAGTTACACTAGTGGATATTTATATAAAAAAAAGTAGATTTTGTTCAGATTTTCACACTGAATTCCCAATTCCCTTAATAAGAAGCTAAATCAATCTTTAGAGAACAAACCAAGTAAGACCCGTGGCTCTAAATTATTAAAATATACTCTAGTCATCTTATGGCATAAGGCATCATTCACCTTCCAGCAGCTCACACACCGCGTGTGCCCCGTCCACGTTAGAGGGAACAGATCAGGTCCTCTGCCTGCAGAGAGGAGGCAAGGGGCAGCCCTGGCTTCTTGCACAACGCTGCTGCCCTGGTGCCTCTCCTTTTCCACAGGGAATAACACAGAGCTTGCAGCAGAATCTACTGCTGCCACGGATCAGACCTCCCAGGAAAAACAAATGAGGCTTTAGCTTCATTCTTTGCATTGCAAAGATAAGATAGAGGTCTCCTAAATTAACTGTGGTACCTGAGCCCAATCAAGTTCTGCTCTCAACCTCAGCCTCCACGTTATTTCCTCACACACACCACAGAAAAAGTAGAACAGTAATTTAAGCCACGCATGCTGTACGTCTGAGAAATGCAGATGTAGAAGAAACAAGCTTTCAGTCACCTTCCACAACTTTAAATACGGGCGTACTCCAAGGGAGCGCTGCCCTGCACAGCAGCAGCACTGAATCTCATGGCCATGCAGAAGTGCTCCGGATCTCAGGCATTTGAGGACAATGCAGTGGAAAGTGTGAAGGACAGCCCAGCACTCCTCCCTGAGAGGTTCATTCTTCCAGCACTGCAACCTGTGTGTCAGAGACAGCACTCGGAATGCAATGGCAAGAACCCTGCCCTGTGATTGACGCTCCCATTCTCTCTCCATATGGACACTGTTGCTATCCCACTCTTTTCCCTGACTCCTCCACATCCCAGCAGATGCTCTGCCCAATCTTCCTGAAAACAGTATCTGAATTCCATACAAAACGTAAACGCCACGTGCAGAAGTTTGCTGGCTGCTTATGTTAACGTATTTGTTTCACACGTAGGAGCCATTTTCCATTTGCATCAGTAACACCCACAACATTCTCCGCCACTTTTCTCTGAAGGGGCAGAGTGTGGTTAGAAGAGCAGGGCTTTGGGCTTTATTCTGTAAGGTGAGCTGCCTATTTGCCACCGAATGAGTAAACGGCAGGGAAAACCCTCAGCCTCAGTGTGTCATCTCTCCTCTCAAACAAATCCGAAGGAAGTGCCCTCTGAGATCAGGTTATCGTGTAGCAGATGGTCTTTCCTTCAGGACACGGATGCTAAAGCCACAGACACGTTCCAAATCCATTTAAACATCAGATTACACTCGCCCCTGTCAGCTGAAGGAGCTGGGAGACAGCAGCAGCTCCAGCCCGCTCCATTAATCAAAATTCAGCGAGAAAAGCCAACATGCCGCTCTAAAATCTCCTGACTCGATGCCAGCACCCTGCACAGGGATCCTAAAGCCATCAATCTTCCTTTTTCTCCCCGAGCAGTAAGATGCAGCTGGGGAGGGGGAGAGCAATTACAGAGGCTTGGCCAAAGGAGTAGAGCCAGGAGAAGATTTTTTTTTTGACAACTCTCGAAATGATCCTGAGTTGATGGGTGTCAAAGGGGAAACCGACCTAAGCAGCCCTTGGTGCACATCAGCCCCAGCTCAGCCTTCGCAAACACGGATGTGTAACAGCGGCTGAACCCAGCAGCTTTGCACAGCCATGCAGGAGGGCAGATGGGTGACACCCCGAGGGGTTAATTTTGATCTAAAAGGAAAAAAACGTGTCATAACATAGGGAGGCATCCAATGTTTCCTGCTGTGCCATCTCCACCGCAGCAAGTCTTCCACTAAACCACTGCTAAACAGGTTTTCTCACTACTGATCTTAGAGAAACAGACAGCAGTTGAGATTTTTCCCCCACAACATTTCTACTTTGTGCCACTGTGCAGAGTAACAGACACTGCCAGAGCTCACTGTGCCCTCAGGACCTGGAGCCAAGCTGTATCCCCGCAGCAGCCGTCCCCACTCGGGGAGCTTTTGTTACCAAGGATTTTTCTAGTTACCTCATGACTTGGTAGGAAGCAATTTTGAAACACTCAATATTGAATGGAGAATTTCAACGCTTCATGGGTGATTTTCCAAACCTTTCTCCCTCTGTGGAA